CCCGCGGCAATTTGATGTTCTTAAAACAAATATTTGCCCGAGAAGCGAAGCTTCGAGGGAAAATATGCTAGTTTTGAGAACATCAAATTTCCAAGGGGAAACTATCGGACCGATAGTTCCGAGACATAAACACTCTATTGTTTTTATTGTTCACTACTAAATTTTCTTCCACGCGCCAGTTGAAAAACAGTCAAAACCCACCGATTTGCAGATCAATCAAATACTTATTCATGCGTACAGCCTGTCACAAATGTCAATAACTCGCAGCCAGAATTGAAAAGTCACTCTTTTTCCGATCTGCCTAACTTCGCGGCCGTCAAACCATTCAAAAATTTTAACGGATGAGTACAATCCATCCGTGTGTTTTTCGCGGACGAGCACTATCCATCCGGGTATTTTCCGCCGACGGGCACTATGGGCTGATAGTGTCTCTCCACGGATGAACACTATCGCGTCACGTGATCGATTTAAACCAATAAGAATCGGAGAAAATTTAGTGGTGAACTATAACACGTGATAGGTAGCGATTAGCCGAACCAACCCCATCACGGCAGCATCTATGATGGAGCGCTAGTAGTTTTATTTCATTTTAAGTGAACTAGAATGGCCTAACTCTACAGAATGACAAGAGGTCACAATGGGGTCTTTTGGAAGTGTCTGACGGTCTAGGATGTTGTGATGAAGGGAAGATCGTACGTCGATAGAGATTCTGACGACACTACGTCCTGTTTCCAGTTAATTAAACCTGTAATAACATTTGAGAAACAAGCCACAGCCATCCTGGGGCATTTCTTCTTTTAAACCATTCATTCTTCATTTTTCACCAAAGTAGAGAAGTAGATAAACTCAAAAGGCGTGACTCTCTTTTAAGTTTTCTGTGATCAGACACTTTCCACGGACTATCATGACCAGCCACAGGCGGCCCAAGCTCTCTTTGAGAACCACACAAGGAACACAATTTACATATTTATAAGGATTTGTATGGGATTTTCTACAACATTTCCACAGAGATAGTTAAAAATGAAAATATTAATTAAAAATGGCTTACCTTGTTCCATACATGTGTTGTTTGCTCCTGGTGTCGTTATTTTACCGATTTCACTTGATTTAAGCGGTTTTTTTAAATCCTGGTTCTCTACCACATAAAGAGAAGACTTCTCTCTGAGCCACATAAAGAGAAGACTTCTCTCTTAGCCTAAAGTTATAAAATCGTTTGTATCTGGCGCATGTCAAACCCCGGTTTGTAGCTTAAAGGTCAAACAGGGATTGTCACTCACTAAACCGTCGAAATGAATTGGCATAACATCAAATGGACAAAATTTTTAAAATTGGCTCGCCATTAACTTGTGATCGCCTTCGTATGAAATTTTTTGTTGTTGTTGTTGTTTTTAAGTCCGTTACCGTTAAGTTTTATTCGATTTAGAAACAAGGAAAAACATGAGAAAAATCAGGTCAGCGTTTTACATGTCCTCGTTTTACTAGTCCGCGTTTTACAAGTCCTCGTTTTACTAGTCCACGTTTTGCTAGTCCAGTCCAACACAGCCCAGTCCAGTCCTGGAAATACCATATGCCGCTTCGAAGAACTGTCAAGTCGCGAGAAACCATTCGCACTTAAACAGTGTCGGTGATGACAGAAAATTTGTCGTTAGTGCGGATAGGTCCTAAATATTCATTCACTGCGTTAAAACAGAAATCTTAATCACTTTTCTTTTTTTAACAGCGTTAAAACATAAATCTCAATCACTTTTCAAGGGGTCTGAAGTTTCGAGACATCCCCGCCTTCGTATCGTCAAGCGTCTATTTCTAGTTATAATTTTCCTTTAATTCGCTTACAGTTTACAAGATTGTTTAAAGCTATGTCTCCGTAACGTATCCCCTGGTTTGGTTGGTGTTTTCTCCGGTCGCGATTTTCTTGGCTCTTCATTCGGTGTTGATGTTCGCTTGCTGTAACACGCAACAGATTGATAAGCTTTGTATAAAATAGATTTGGAGTAACCCTGCAGGGGACTCACGATGAAGAACAGCTGTCGACACTCCCTCGCTCTTTATTTAAAAATTTCATCTCCTAATTCCAAACGACTTGAAAACTTCCGAGTCGGTAAACCTCACAAATATCGCAATAGTTCATATCTAGGCAATAAACCTTTTTTGGTTCTGTCCTCGTGTACCGGTTCACAAGAGCGAATACAAAAGACCAAACAATACACAATAGCTAACCGATGACTCCTAAACAAAGAAAGAACAATGGTAATTCCCTTGTGAACCGGTACACCAGGACAGAACCCCTTTTTTCGGCGTATACAAATCGTGTGAGATTAGGTGTCTCGAAATACGCAGACCGCAGACCGCACCTCTCGAAAACGAAGACCTCGAAAAAATTTGTTTTAGACATTTGGTGATGTTAAAAAAGGATTTTTTTTGGGAGGAAATTTTTAAAAATAGCTGCACAGACGTTTGCCCGGTTGTTATTGTTTGATGCTTGTAAAATAAATGTATTTTCTTACTGGTGGACCAATAAGTGGTTTATAGGGCTGTAAATTAATGCTCCCATGAGGATACCAGTTTAAATTTGATAACATATGAATAAATCATTCGAAACGACACCGGAAAATTTATAATAGGTTCTTCTCGCAAACCAACAGAACAACGGCAGAATAACAATTGATAGACAATAATGGAGCGACGAAAAATGGGCAGAGGATTAAATCGTTCGATCTACGCAATCACGCTCTTATCACTAATTACAGTGGTGATTTTCATCTTTGCGTGGAGACCAATACTGCTTTCGTATTTCTTCAGATACACTAAGATCATTATTTTAGAAGCTTTAAGCTATGAACAGAGAGTTTTGGACAATGAACAACAACTTGCTCATAAGGAATGGAGAACGTATCAGATTGAAAGTCGTTTTGGCCAAGAATGGTGCAAAGAAAACGTACAAGCAAGAAGCGATGTTACGTGGCTAACAATTGTGGTGGACGATAATTTCGTCGTTCCTGCGTTGGTTCTCGCTCACTCCATCCAAGCATTCTCTTGCCACAAGAATATGATTGTCCTGATTTCAGATACAGTGACCGAAGAAGCCCAGGCGGCACTTGAGAAAGTTGGTTGGGACACTAGATTAGTTGAAGCAATGGACTGTGACTGGCTGGATGCAAAAATGACCCTTGAAAGAAACGAAGGACTGTTTGCAAGACCACGAGGCTACAGAATTATGGGAACACACACTCGATTCCACGCGTGGAAATTTTCTGAATTTTCGAAAATCATTTATGCCGACGCCGATTACATGTTGATGACGAATATCGATGAATTGTTTGATATTCCAGATGACTTTGCTGCCGTTCCTTGCGCGCGACCTGGTGTAATAGATCCTTGCTTTAATGCTGGTCTCCTTGTTTTTAGACCAGGTGCCAAATACTATCAGGAAATCATGGACTTATGGCAGGAAACCACCCAAAGAGATACTTGTCCTGACGATCAAGTTTTGCTCTGGCATTATTACGCCGATGCTGGAAACTGGAGAGCACTTCCTTACTCATTCAACATCAGACTCATCATCTACAGACCCTTTAACTCTTATCACTTTGCTGGAGGCAAAGGCGGCTATCATCCTCCCAAGCCTTGGTCCGCAGATTGCAGACCAAGCAGGAAAGAAGCTGCAGAGTATGACAGACCAATTGTTGACATATCAGATGTAGAAATAGTTTTCTGGAAGAATTTTTATCAGCTACTGAAAAGGTATAATTTAGAGGACTGGTGGAGATCTACCAAGCTGTATCGACCAAAGCAAGAGTTTGGTGTCGTACCCTATGCGGATTGCAAACAAGGTAAAGGGAACGTGGAGTTATAGTCGTGATAACACCCTTTCAAAAAGAAGTTTGTTTTTTCCATCACCTGTTCACTGTTTACTGTTATGAATTGAATAACAGGAAGTTACATGGTATTGATTTCTGAGAGTTTAAACCAGGGAAGAACCCGAAAAAACTACTCATTACAAATTAAAAACTGAAATTTAGTGTTCACCATTTTCTGTGTAGAGAATACATTAAAATTCTGTTCCTTATCTCAACAACATCAGAAAGCGTGAGTAGTTCTTCTATTCAAAATGATGAAGTAAATTTACATTGGACATGCATGTCCAACATATGTTGGCAAAACTTACGTATGGCCTATCCCCTTTCCGGCATTGCGGGGAAGAACAATTCACGTTGCGGTGTTGCGGGGATCTCAAACCTTGCAGTGTAGGATGCTCGTAATTTCAAACCGGTGTTCGGTGAAATAAACCAGATTTTGATAACCCGCGGTTAATTGTCGAACAAAATAATTAACAATACATCCGAGTTAAAAATAAACATCAGCTGATTGACCCGTGGCTGTGTTTGATTATATTTAACTTGACCTATCGCACCAGGCATTCAATTCGCAATATCGGTCGTTTGGACGCAAGCAACCTCGTTCCCAGGGTCTCTCATCTTTCTGCTCCCTGGGAACGAGGTTGACTATTGCCAGCCAAATTACAGACCAACGCGCGTGGTAAAGATGAGCGAAACCAGACAAGGTAAATCCTAGGACTACATAATCAGGTTTTAAGAAAAATAAAGGAGGTGCGAATTCTCGATTTCATCACTTTTTACCAGAATGCATTGTATTTAACCAAAGTGTACTGCGCCATGCTTATTGTTTAGTGTATTGTGTTAAATAGCGTTACTAATGTAAGGACATTTCCTATGTCTTCAACCGTGTTTTAAATCTACTTTCCTTAGAAAAGGCAAATTAACTTATCGCGAGTATTGTATGGCAAATCTACTATCTTGATCACTGAATGAAGGACAGTTGAATAAGAGCACTGAAAGGAGTCACTTGACACCCCGGTAAGCTGGAAATTAAAGCCAAAGGCACTCGACTGTTTAAGGCCTAGTTTATACGTCGCGCTACAGTCGAATTAATTCCATTAAATTCGTCGTTCCGTCGACATAAATCGTGGCGTGGTTTTATGCGTCGAAATCAATACGGTCGAATTTAATTCTCTTCCCAAATGCAGTGTCTCTGGTCAGAGGTGTCACTCGAAAAGCTCGC